GGGCGCTAACACTATCGGAAGTCGCTAGCGACACTGATACAGTGATCAGTAAAAATCGGTTCACTGATCAGTGACACTGGTGACAGGGCGGTGAAGGGGTTAATTGGGGGGGGGAGATTAAGGGGTTAAATGGGATTACTGGTGTACTAGCGGGCAATCTGGCGCTATCTGGGAGGGGCGCTAACACTATCGGAAGTCGCCAGCGACATTGATACAGTGATCAGTAAAAATCGGTTCACTGATCAGTGACACTGGTGACAGGGCAGTGAAGGGGTTAACTGGGGGGGGGGGGGGGGGGGCGAAGGGGTTAAAACGGGATTAGTAGTGTACTGGCAGGCAATCTGGCGCTATCTGGGAGGGGCGCTAACACTATCGGAAGTCGCCAGCGACACTGATACAGTGATCAGTAAAAAATTGGTTCACTGATCAGTGACACTGGTGACAGGGCAGTGAAGGGGTTAACGGGGGGGGGGGGCGATCAAGGGGTTAGACGGGACTACTGGTGTATTAGCGGGCAATCTGGCGCTATCTGAGAGGGGGCGCTAACACTATCGGAAGTCGCCAGCGACACTGATACAGTGATCAGTAAAAATTGGTTCACTGATCAGTGACACTGGTGACAGGGCAGTGGAGGGGTTAACTGGGGAGGGGCCATCAAGGGGTTAGACGGGACTACTGGTGTATTAGCGGGGCAAACTGGCGCTATCTGGGAGGGGCGCTAACACTATCAGAAGTCGCCAGCGACACTGATACAGTGATCAGTAAAAATCGCTTCACTGATCAGTGACACTGGTGACAGGGCAGTAAAGGGGTTAACTGGGGGGGGGGGGGGCGATCAGGGGGTTAAATGTGACCTAGAGTGTTCTGTCAGTGTGTAGTGTTTTTTACTCACTGTTTGGATGTCTTCTTCTCTGTCTGGAACGGAATGTGTCCAGGCAGAGAAGAATGACATCATATCCTGCCCTGTGTAAATGTCAACACAGGACAGGATAGGACAGGGACCGATCATGTGATTTCAGCCAGAAATCACTGGCTGAAACCTAATGATTGATCCCTCCTGGACCGCGCGCCCCCTACCCGAATGTGTCGGGAGCGTGGAGCACGTTTTAAAATGTGCTTTTGCGCTCCACTGCCGCCCTGCACACGTATATACACAGTGGCAGGGCGGCAAGCGGTTAAATTGATTCTGATAAGCTTGGCCTTATTGAGAGTAGGATCCAAACCCACATGTGGGTCTGTTTAATTTGTTCATAAACAATATAGAGGTTGCATTAAATAGTTCAATTTCAGTGTTTTGCTAGTGTTACAGTTAAATAGGGCAACTTCACAACAGGACATAGAAACTTTAATAGAGAACTATGATACAATTAAGGGGTGTGCAGCTATATGGCAGATGAGGTTCATTGTTAAAAAAATGTAAAGTGACTCATTTGGGGGCTTAAAATATGAATGCAAGTTGCTTGCTAGGGAGAGAACCTCTGGCGAATCCAGGATGGAACAAGACCTGGGGGTACTAGTAGATCAGATTCAGCAATAGCATGCAATGCCAAGCTGCAGCGAGCAGGGCCAGCAGACTACTAGCTTGCATTAAAAAGGGTATTTTCTCAAGAGATAAAACTACAGTAATTCCACCACCAACTCTGGTTCGGCACACATCATGAGTATGCTGTCCAGTTCCGGTCACCAGTCCTCAGGAAGGATGTGTTTGAAATAGAGAGAGTCCAGAGAAGGATAACAAATCTGATAAAGGGGCTTGAGGACCTTAATTACGAGGAATGACTGCAAACATTAAATTTATTCTCCCTGGAAAAGGAACGCTTAGGAGGATATGCACTATGTTGCCAAAAGTATTGGGCCAGCCCTCCAAATCATTGGATTCCAGTGTTCCAATCACTTCCATGGCCACAGGTGTATGAAATCAAGCACCTAGGCATGCAGACTGCTTCTGCAAACATTTTGTGAAAGAATGGGTCCCTCTCAGGAGCTTAGTGAAATCAAGTGTGGTACCGTGATAGGTTGCCACCTGTGCAATAAGTCCATCCGTGACATTTCCTGGCTACTAAATATTCCACAGTCAACTGTTAGTGGTATTATAACAAAGTGGAAGCAACTGGGAACAACAGCAACTCAGCCGCAAAATGGTAAAATGACAGAGCGGGATCAGCGCATGCTGAAGTGCGCAGAAATTGCCACCTTTCTGCAGAGTCAATAGCTAAGGACCTCCAAACTTCGTGTGGCCTTCAGATTAGCACAGCAACGGTGCGTAGAGAGTTTCATGGAATGGGTTTCCATGGCCGAGCAGCTACATCCAAGCCTTACATCAAGTACAATGCGAAGCGTGAGATTCAGTGGTGTAACGCACACCGCCACTGGACTCTAGAACAGTGGAGACGTGTTCTCTGGAGTGGCTAATCACACTTCTCTGTCTAGCAATCCGATGGATGTGTATGGGTTTGGTGTTTGCTAGGAGAACGGTACTTGCCTGACTGTATTGTGCCAAGCGTAAAGTTTGATGGAGGGGGGATTATGGTGTGGGGTTGTTTTTCAGGGGTTGGGCTTGGCCCCTTAGTTCCAGTGAAGGGAACTCTTAAGGCGTCGGCATACCAAGACATTTTGGACAATTTCATTCTCCCAACTTTGTGGGAACAGTTTGCGAATGGCACCTTCCTGTTCCAACATGACTGCGCACCAGTGCACAAAGCAAGGTCCATAAAGACATGGATGAGCGCGTCTGGGGTGGAGGAACTTGACTGACCTGCACAGAGTCCTAACCTCAACCTGATAGAACACCTTTGTGATGAATTAGAGTGGAGACTGTGAGCCAGGCCTTCTCATCCGACGTCAGTGCCTGACCTCACAAATGTGCTTCTGCAGGAATGGTGAAATCTTCCCATAGACACCCTCCTAAACCTTGTGGACAGCCTTCTGAGAAGAGATGAAACTGTTATAGCTGCAAAGGGCGGGCCAGCTCAATATTGAACCCTACGGACAAAGACTGTCATGCCATTAAAGTTCATGTGCGTATAAAGGCCGGCGGCCCAATACTTTTGGCAATATAATGTGTGATCGCAATACACAAATCTCTCAATGGTTGATTCTAGCATAGGTAGAAAATTATTCAGTGGCCACTCAGTCAAGTTGGACAAGAAGTAGTTTAACCTTAAAATGACTGATGTGAATGTACAATTTATATGTAAAGCTCTGCATAAATTGACAGCGCTATACAAGTACCTGTAATAAATAAAAACATAAACAGCAGAGGAGGTTCTGTACTGTTAGAGCAGTAAGCATGTGGAACTCCATTCAGCAGCTGGTGGTGTTAGCAGGAATTTTTTACATTTTCCAAAAAACATTGGATGGACATCTTGACAAACACAATATACAGGGATATACAACACACGCGCGTGCGCACACACACACACACACACACACACACACACACACAACTGGTGTCTTTATTCAACTTTATCTACTATGTAACTATGTGTGACCCCCACCAGGAAGCTGTCACCTATATGGGCCAATCATATGCGTCTGGGGCATTCCCCACTCCACAGCTACACATTTACATGTTCCTTGTACTGTATATGTGTCCCTGTCACAGATGGTTGGATCATACAGGTGACTTTGGATCCCACTCCACTTATTGTGCCCCCACTGATACCAATGATGGGACACTATTCCTCCCACTGATACAAATGATGGGGCACTATTCCTCCCACTGATACCAATGATGGGGCACTATTCCTCCCACTGATACCAATGATGGGGCACTATTCCTCCACACTGATACCAGTGATGGGGGCACTATTCCCCCCACTGATACCAATGATGGGGCACTATTCCTCCCACTGATACCAATGATGGGGCACTATTCCTCCTCCCCACTGACACCAACGATGGGGCACTATTCCTCCCACTGACACCAATGATGGGGCACTATTCCTCCCACTGATACCAATGATAGGGCACTATTCCTCCCACTGATACCAATGATAGGGCACTATTCCTCCCACTGATACCAATGATGGGGCACTATTCCTCCCACTGATATCAATGAAGGGGCACTATTCCTCCCACTGATACCAATGACGGGGCACTATTCCTCCCACTGATACCAATGATGGGGCACTATTCCTCCCACTGATACCAATGACGGGGCACTATTCCTCCCACTGATACCAGTGACGGGGCACTATTCCTCCCACTGATACCAGTGACGGGGCACTATTCCTCCCACTGATACCAATGACGGGGCACTATTCCTCCCACTGATACCAATGACGGGGCACTATTCCTCCCACTGACACCAATGACGGGGCACTATTCCTCCCACTGACACCAATGATGGGGCACTATTTCTCCCACTGACACCAATGATGGGGCACTATTCCTCCCACTGACACCAATGATGGGGCACTATTCCTCCCACTGACACCAATGATGGGGCACTATTCCTCCCACTGACACCAATGATGGGGCACTATTCCTCCCCACTGACACCAATGATGGGGCACTATTCCTCCCACTGACACCAATGATGGGGCACTATTCCTCCCACTGACACCAATGATGGGGCACTATTCCTCCCACTGACACCAATGATGGGGGGCACTATTCCTCCCACTGATACCAATGATGGGGCACTATTCCTCCCACTGATACCAATGATGGGGCACTATTCCTCCCACTGATACCAATGATGGGGCTCTATTTCTACTCTTAATGACCACAGGTGTTGTGTTATTTATTTAATTATTTAAACGTACACTTACAATGACGTCTGGGGAGCTCTTTACTCCCACTGCACTAGGGCATTTTCTACTCCTCTGGCCACAGTCTGGCCTCCTATAAAGTCTGAAGCACAGTAAACTTGCCCTTTGTGTATAAAATTTGGATAACTCATATCTAGTTAAATAATGCATATCAGTTTGTGATGTGTTTGGCCAGTCTGTTTACCAGGTTTTAAGTTAACAGCCATTTCATTTTCCTGTTCTTAGAGATATTCCCATGCCACTGGTCAGCTCTGGGGTAGAGCATGGAAATCTTCGAGAGCTGGCCTTAGCACGGATGAAAGATCTTGGTACAGAGGTACGTACAACATTCACGTAGTTATCTTCGGGGACTTACAGTATATGGGAGAATGTCACCAATAAAGTAAATCTATAGCCAAATTTTCGGACAGAAATTTTTGAATGGAATCTAGACGGATTCGAATCCCTGTTAGGTCTTTATTGCTTTGTATGAGTGTACTGTATGTGTAAGGTATCACTAGAACTTGTCAGTGGTGGGTCGATCTGTGGTGGCTTGACTTCTTAAGGGTTCTCAGAGTGAGACTTTTCAAGCATGTGAAGATTTTGGAGGTAGGTGGCAGGCACTGTGTATGAAGGCTTGACATTTCAGGCACAATGGACGCTCCAGAACACTGCGTGAAGACATAGACTGCAGTTCTCATGACCAACAGGTCTAGCCCTACCAAAGCTCTGACCAACAGGTCTAGCCCTACCAAAGCTCTGAAGAAGGTGAGCTTCATGTTCTGTGTGATATACCAGCCTTTCTCAATCAGGGTTTCATGGTATCCTAGGGTTCCTCCAGAGGTTGCTAGGGGTTCCTTGAGCTGTGGCTGATTGACCTCCAATTTGATGGTGCCTGCATACTTTCAGGGATAATAGTAGAGATCATTGTGCTCCAAACCGATAAGAGTATCCAAGATTATTTATTTTTGCACAGATTGGGTTTAAAGGATTAGTTTTAGGGTTAGTCTACCTTCACAATCTTCAGAAGGTTTTATTGCTGTCTGTGACCCCACTGGGGATATTCTTCTTCTTTATTTGTCCTGGTGACCTTTGTACCCAGAGAAAAAATGATGGGAAATATTGTCCCTAGAACAGGAGTTCAGGGGGAAGTCTTGCAATGGGGACACCTCTTCCAGTGACAACTATCTAAAAGGGGATTTCCCCTAACTTCTTGCATTTCCAGGACAGGAACTGAAGGGAAATCTCCAAAATGGGACACAAGCAGTAACTAAGCTGTACCCCCATAAAGGTTCTCCTGAAAAATAGCCAAGTACTTCATGGTATGTGAGTGTGCCTAGATCAGTGGTTTTCAACCTGTGGGTCGCGATCCCTTTGGGGGTCGAACGACCCTTTCACAGGGGTCCCCTAAGACCATCAGAAAACACATATTTCCGATGTGTAAAGAGCAGCTACTGTGTAGAAAGCAGCTGCTGTGTTGAAAGCAGCTACTCTGTTAAAAGCAGCTACTGTGTTGAAAGCAGCAGTATTGGAGGTAAAACGACACTCATGAATTATAATTACTGGGTAAATAATTTTATGGTTGGGGGTCACCACAACATGAGGAACTGTATTAAAGGGTTATGGCATTAGGAAGGTTGAGAACCACTGGCCTAGATACTCTTGTACTGCAGTGTAAGGTCTAAGGCACTACTACATTTGATTGCTAGTTTTTTAGCTGAACTCCAAGCAAAAAATAGTCTTCCCTTGCAGTGGGGCTACACCTGCACTGCAAGGGTATAACTATAACTTGTGTTCCCCCATTGTGTAGTGGTCTTGAGCAGTGACTGTTTCTGACATCATCAAGCCCATAGACCTACTCTGGACATGAGGACACCAGGAACAGTCTGCTAGATCGTGGGGAAGTGCTGTTTGCCGGTGGAGTGGAGGGTCAGGTGAGTATAAGGCTTTTTGATCTCCCTGGACAACACAAGCACTTAACCCTTGCACAAGACATGGCAAGTCAGTAATGTCAGGTGGTAGTTGGCTTTTCAGTAAAAGTGACCTGGGCTGCTGTAGACCTGTCTGATTGCTTTTAACCACTTGCCCTCCAGAGGATTTACCCCCCTTCCTGACCAGGCTATTTTTTGAGTTACACAGATGCATTACATTAATGGACAATTGTGTGGTCATGCAACGCTGCACCCAAATTAAATTTCTGTCCTTTTTTTTTACCCCCCACAAATGGAGCTTTCTTTTGGTGGTGTTATTTAATTGCCTGTGCAGTTTTTTTATTTTTTGCGCTATAAACAAAAACAAAAAAACAAAAATTAAAAAAAAAAAAAACCCAGATTTTTTTTTTTTTTTCACTTTTTGCTATAAAACATATCCAGTAAATTTTTTTTAAAAATTAAACTTTTGTCATAAATTTAGGCCAAAATCTATTCTGCTATATGTCTTTGCTAAAACCAATATGTATAAATTAATTTGGTGAAAGTTATATCGTCTACAAATGGCGGTATATATACTGGAATTATTATTTTTCTTTTTCATACTAGTAATGGTTGTGATCAGTGACTTATAGCGGGACTGCAGCGGGCATTCTGACACTGGGGGGGAACTGACTAACTGTCACTGACATCCCCAGTGACACTATTACCGTTATCAATGCTAATAAGAAGCACTGACACTGTACTAATGACACTGGGCAGGAAGGGGTTAACATCTGGGGCGATCAAAGGGTTAACTGTGTGCTGTGCTTTACTGTGTAAGCACATTGCTTTGTATTGCTCTACTATCCAGAGCAATGCAAAGCAGCGTGCTGGAGCTGATGGGAGAAATCTGTATTGTTTATATACAGACCTCTCCCCCTGTCAGTGATACTCTGAGATTGCCAGGTGTCAGCGGGGAATCGCCGGCCAGGTTCCGGTGATCGACAGCTGAAGCCGCCAATGGTGGCGTGGGTAGGGTGCGCATGCGCCCCCTAACCGGAAATACAAAATCACGTATATATACATGATTTTGCGCAGCCCTGTAGCAGTAGTTCTGCTATAAGGCGGTCGGGAAGCGGTTATTTCACTGGCATGGGCTGCCCTCTCCACTGCCACCTGCAGTGGTTCCCAGGCTTTCCCATTCCTCCAGGTAGCCCCGGACTGCGAAAAATGTGTTCAGGATGCTAAATGGAGGAGCTCAGGGAATGTGTGCTCCTCGATCTGTTCCGTGATTATTGAACCTGGAAGCATTTATTCACTGCCAGTTTCAGAGCTGTCATTTAAAAGGCTGCCGTGATAAGAGAAGCAACTAATCAAGCACAACATGTGCTTGATTAGCTGTAAGCTGTAGTGAAGGGCAGGGGAGACATTGGAGGTGGGGGGGGATTCTAATAGATTCTAATAGAGCCCTGATGTCTCCATAAAGAGGACCTGCCAATTGACATCACGTAGGGCCTCTTGTGATAGCAATAAAGTTAAATAAAAATAAATATGTTAAAAATTATTAAAGTAAAATTGAAAAATTAAGAGCAACCCTGTCACTCTGTGCACAAATGGAAAAACACTTGTAAGGCACACATGTATGTAGACAGTAAATTCTATGGCCATCTTTCACAGTTATCTCTAAATTGATGACCAGTAGAGATTTTTAAAGCGTCACCTATGGAGAATATTTAGGGGTTTTTTTTTTTTTTTTTTTTTTTTTTTTTTTTTTTTTTTGCCATTTTACAGACTTGTGCAAAATTAAGGTTAGACAAACATGTCTAAACATAGTCTCTATTTATTCCCTGCAAACTCATCTTTTATATATTACCAATACATTTGGGTTTTATACTGTCTGCATGCACTAAATGTTATTTTAGTGGCATTTTTCCTAAAGATATGTATTTGATAAACAGTTGTGCAAACATCACGTGTCCAAATGAAATGCAACTGCCATTTTATTCCACAGGGCCACTGACATTAGAAAATATATCATTGTCTAGTAGTCTGAAGTAATTTTCTAGTAAAGATTGCAAATTTGTGATTAAAAAAAATTGCAAAATATATGATATGATAATATATATGTATATAATAAAACATATTTTGTGTGTGTATATATGTCTGTGTGTATGTATGTGTGTGTATATTTATAAAATAATTCTTGTATTCATTCATGTACTCCTTTTTTTTTTTTTTTTTTTTTTTTTGTTTGTACAGTGCCGTGACGTAAGAACCAGAGAGGTGGGGATCCAGGAAATTCACCACAAAGTCCGACCGTATCAGGTGATTATCTGCCACATCTCATCTGATAATTCTTAAAAAGACACATTTTGGATAGATTAGGGGAGGGTAAAACTGTCAAATATTTTTTTTTTTTTGCCTTTTTTTTTTCACTTCCTGTCTGTCTCTTAGCAGTTCAGCTTTACACTTGGGGTCATTTATGTGGATGGTTATCCTTGCCATAACTCTGAAATGTGATCCCCAGTTGAGCACTTTTCAGAGGCATTTGACAGTTGGCTCAGAGTTGATATGTTGCCTCCTCACCGTCTGCGATGACCATTGAAATACTGCAGCACCATGCTGCAAGCAAGTGCATTATACAGTATCTCACAGAAGTGAGTCCACACCTCACATTTTTGTAAATATTTTTTTCTATCTTTTCATGTGACAACACTGAAGAAATGACACTTTGCTACAATGTGACGTAGTCAGTGTACAGCTTGTATAACATGTAAATTTGCTGTCCCCTCAAAATAACTCAACACACCGCCATTAATGTCTAAACCGCTGGCAACAAAAGTGAGTACACCCCCTAAGTGATAATGTCCAAATTGGGCCCAATTAGCCATTTTCCCTCCCTGGTGTCATGTGACTTGTTAGTGTTACAAGGTCTCATGTGTAAATAGGGAGCAGGTGTGTTCAATTTGGTGTTATCACTCTCGCTCTCTCACACTGGTCACTGGAAGTTCAACATGGCACCTCATGGCAAAGAACTCTCTGAGGATCTAAAAAAAAGAATTGTTGCTCTACATAAAGATGGCCTAGGCTATAAAATTGCCAAGACCCGGAAACTGAGCTGCAGCATGGTGGCCAAGACAAAGTAGTTTAACAGGACAGGTTCTTCTCAGAACAGGCCTCACCATGGTCGACCAAAGAAGTTGGGTGCACATGCTCAGCGTCATATCCAGAGGTTGTCTTTGGGAAATAGACATATGAGTGCTGCCAGCATTGCTGTAGAGGTTGAAGGGGTGGGGGGTCAGCCTGTCAGTGCTCAGACCATACGCCGCACACTGCATCAATTTGGTCTGCATGGCTGTCGTCCCAGAAGGAAGCCTCTTCTAAAGAAGATGCACTAGAAAGCCTGCAAACAGTTTGCTGAAGACAAGCAGACTAAGGACATGGATTACTGGAACCATGTCCTGTGGTCTGATGAGACCACGATCAACTTATATGGTTTAGATGGTGTCAAGTGTGTGTGGCGGCAACCAGGTGAGGAATACAAAGACAAGTGTGTCTTGCCCACAGTCAAGCATGGTGGTGGGAGTGTCATGGTCTGGGGCTGCATGAGTGGTGCCGACACTGGGGAGCTACAGTTCATTGAGGGAACCATGAATGCCAACATGTACTGTGACATATTGAAGCAGAGCATGATCCCCTCCCTTCAGAGACTGGGCCACAGGGCAGTATTCCAACATAACGACCCCAAACACAGCTCCAAGACGACCACTGCCTTGCTAAAGAAGCTGAGGGTAAAGGTGATGGACTGGGCAAGCATGTCTCCAGACCTAAACCCTATTGAGCATCTGTGGGGCATCCTCAAACGGAAGGTGGAGGAGCGCAAGGTCTCTAACATCCACCAGCTACATGATGTCCTCATGGAGGAGTGGAAGAGGACTCCAGTGGCAACCTGTGAAGCTCTGGTGAACTCCATGCCCAAGAGGGTTAAGGCAGTGCTGGAAAATAATGGCGGCCACACAAAATATTGACACTTTGGCCCAATTTGGACCTTGTCACTTAGGGGTGGACTCACTTTTGTTGCCAGCGGTTTAGACATTAATGGCGGTGTGTTGAGTTATTTTTTGAGGGTACAGCACATTTACACTATTATACAAGCTGTACACTCACTACGCTACATTGTAGCAAAGTGTCATTTCTTCAGTGTTGTCACATGGAAAGATAGAATAAAATATTTACAAAAATATGAGGGGTAGACTCACTTCTGTGAGATACTGTACATGGTTGTACATGGTCGTATTTACTTTAATGGTGTTGTTGCCGCCTGCCAGAAGCGAACTGTGGTTTAGAGTTTAACTATGGCTGGGCAGTCAGGGATGGGGGCAATAAAAACAGCGGCTCAACCATTTTGTTTTATCGCCCCCTTTTTGCCCGTGTAAACAAGGCCTTACAGTGAATGCGTTCTCTGGTTGCTCACAGTTAAGTATATATGTAGTTGTTGTCATGTACCTGTATGCAAAGCCTGAGATGACGTGAGTGGCCTCTTGCACAGTTTCTATCCAAGCACCCCTAGAAGTGTAGACAAGGTCTGCTATGGTGAATGAAAGATACAGTTCTCCGGGTACCAACACTGTGTGCTGGAACATGGAAGCACCAGTATCCGATAAGCAGGAGTTCAGCTGGTAGCGCACCGTGGATGTGCCAGGTTCAGTTAAAGGGGGAGTCGGGACCCAAGCCTTTAACCGGGAAGGCACCCAGTTTTAGGCAGGATCAGAGACAGGCAAAGGTCATCAACGAGTGGGCAGTACGAGTTCGCTGGGCGGAAGTGTGATCAGTAGTCCAGGCCAAGGTTGATAGCAAAGATAGCTAACGTAAGTAGACCAAAGTAATCTAAAAGCAAGTCAGGTAGAGGCTGGGTCCATAACAGGATCAGGACCACAGGAGCAAGGCTGAAGACCATTCAGCAAGGAGCTTGTGCAAAGTTCAGGTCTAAATAGTCCACTTGGCTGCAGTGGATGCATGTACACGTCCACGAATGCGCATACGTGCGTGCAATGGTGCACATGCAGGTAGACTTCTGTGCGCACGCGTTTTAGTCTGACGACCTGACAATTGGCCAGCACTGGTCTCTCCAGTATTTTAACGTTCTTATAGTGCGGCACCCAAACCTGTCCAGCCTTATGGTCTCCATATGCACATTTTTTTTTTTTTGTTATCCAGTTGATCAAAAAGATTGAATCATAAATCAATCAAATAGCCGTGGCTTCCCTTACAATCGATTTAAACTGCGTTCTGATCAAACATAGTCGATCAGCCACACGCATAATTTATTTATTGTTTTGCATTCATGGTCAGCATGGAGATACTTTGTTCCAATCGTATTTTGATTAAAATGTGATCTATAACAATCATGTCTTAGCTATTGATCGAAATCCACTCCACCCATCCCCCCCCCCATATGTTCAATAACATTCACATGTTAACTATTGATCGAAATCCCCTCCCCCCCCCATGTTCAATAACATTCACGTTAACTAACTATTGATCGAAATCCACTTCCCCCCCTCCCCCCATGTTCAATAACATTCACATGTTAACTATTGATCGAAATCCCCTCCCCCCCTGTTCAATATGATCAATAACATTCACATGTTTAACTATTGATCGAAATCCACTTCCCCCCTCCCCCCATGTTCAATAACATTCACATGTTAACTATTGATCGAAATCCCCCCCCCATGTTCAATAACATTCACATGTTAACTATTGATCGAAATCCACTTCCCCCCCCCCCCCCCCCCATGATCAATAACATTCACATGTTAACTATTGATCGAAATCCACTTCCCCCCATGTTCAATAACATTCACATGTTAACTATTGATCGAAATCCACTTCCCCCCTCCCCCCCTCCCCCCCCTCCATGTTCAATAACAGTTTCCCATGTTAACTATTGATTGAAATCCACTTCCCCCCCTCCCCCCATGTTCAATAACATTCACATGTTAGCTATTGATCGAAATCCCCTCCCCCCCATGTTCAATAACATTCACATGTTAACTATTGATTGAAATCCACTTCCCCCCTCCCCCCCCATGTTCAATAACATTCACATGTTAGCTATTGATCGAAATCCCTTCCCCCCCATGTTCAATAACAGTCACATGTTAACTATTGATCGAAATCCACTTCCCCCCTCCCCCCCCCCGTGTTCAATAACATTCACATGTTAACTATTGATCGAAATCCACTTCCCCCCTCCCCCCCCGTGTTCAATAACATTCACATGTTAGCTATTGATCGAAATCCACTTCCCCCCCACTTCCCCCCTCCCCCCCTCCATGTTCAATAACAGTCACATGTTAACTATTGTTCGAAAATCCCCTCCCCCCCCCCATGTTCAATCACATTCACATGTTAACTATTGATCGAAATCCACTTCCCGCTGTATATGGCATATCGATCGGATAGGTTCGGTTGTCAACTATAGCATGATTCCTATCGGAAGATATACAAAAATAAATCAATCATTTATCAAAGGGTGCATGGGTACTGTTACCTAGAGGAGCATCCCAACACCTGACCTCTGTGTCCCTGGCCACCGCTAAGTATTCCCCGACACATTTCCGCAGTCACCTCTGAATGAATTTCCGTACCATTCAGCACATATAAAACCCAGCAGAAGTGAGCGGCGTTGTCGTCTCATAAATAAATATCATTAGTGACTACACCCGCGCAGCCCTCTCTGCCAAGGTAGAGCACTCATCCCAAAGGAATTGAAAGTCGTCGACCCAAGTGAGGGGAGAAAGCAATCAGAGTACTTTTTTTTTTTCCTCTTTCTTAAATCTCATTTGTAATACATAGTTAGGAGGCGGCGGCGGACCTGAGCGGAGGCAGCTAATCAGACCGGTCACCCAGGAGGGTGCCAGCCGGAGAAAAATCGGCTGTCATAAGCTGAATAAGCATGCAAGAGAGGGAGAGGGAACTTCCTGCTGACGGCTGACTTTGTCATCATGTAACAAGTGCAGAAGTGTTGTTGTCATTTGCCTTGCTGTGTATTATTATACAGGATTTATATGGCGCCAACAGTTTGCTCAGCGCTTTACAATGTAACGGGAGACAATACAGTTCAATACAGTTCAATACAAGAGGGATAGGAGGGCCTGATCCTGGGAGCTTACAATCTAAGAGATTATTATACAGGATTTATATAGCGCCAACAGTTTGCTCAGCGCTTTACAATGTAACGGGAGACAATACAGTTCAATACAGTTCAATACAAGAGGGATAGGAGGGCCTGATCCTGGGAGCTTACAATCTAAGAGATTATTATACAGGATTTATATAGCACCAACAGTTTGCTCAGCACTTTTACAATGTAACAGGAGACAATACAGTTCAATACAAGAGGTATAGGAGGGCCTGATCCTGGGAGCTTACAATCTAAGAGATTATTATACAGGATTTATATAGCGCCAACAGTTTGCTCAGCGCTTTACAATATAAAGGGAGACAATACAGTTCAATACAAGAGGTATAGGAGGGCCTGATCCTGGGAGCTTACAATCTAAGAGATTATTATACAGGATTTATATAGCGCCAACAGTTTGCTCAGCACTTTACAATATAACGGGAGACAATACAGCAACAATACAGTTCAATACAAGAGGGATAGGAGGGCGAGTGAGGGATCTCACTAAATCTGTACTGTCTCCTAGATTGTAAGCTCGAAAGAGCAGGGCCCTCGAACCCCTCGTGTATCACATTGTATTGTTCTCGTACTGTCGCATGTTCTGTCCCCCTTTGTAATGTACAGCACTGAGCAAACTGTTGGTGCTCTATAAATACTGTATAATAATAATAATAATACTGGATCCTCTCCTTTATGAAATGGCTTACTCTGATTTCACTGCACACTGTGAGCTTCTCACAGTGTGCATTTGAGTCAGATAGAGCCCAGCTCATGTCGTGGCTGGAGAACGTTCAGCATCATCTAGCCCAGGGTTTCTCAACTAGGGTTCCTCCAAAGGTTTGCCAGGGGTTACTTGAGCAATGAGCAATTTCTGCCTCCCAGATAATTTCCCACTGACACCATTGATCTTTTTAGCTATCTATAAGGGGGTAATTCTTCTCAATGACCTCAAGTGTGAGGAGCATTCTTTCCACCGACCATCACACTAATGTATCAGGAGTTGTAGGTTTAGTATTCATTTTTAGCAGGGGTTCCCAGAGAATGAAAAGATATATTGCAAGGGTTCCTTTGTGTTGAAAAGGTTGAGAGAGGCTGATCTAGGCCCTTTCCTCCCCAGTATGACCAGCCCCCAGCCTGCCCCTTTGGTTCACCAGCGGTTCTGTGTGGCCGAGCTTTATAATTCTCAGGAATGGATGAATGGAAATATGAATTCTTTGGAGGGTGAAACCGCTCCCCAGTATGCATTTCATTTGTATATTCAGCAGTTTGCCTTTCATTTAGCTTTCAGATTTGTAAAATTTATGTGTTTAAATTTCACCATACATGTTATAATCTGACTGTACAATCTCTATGCTATCTCTTGCTACCTACATAGACTGCATTGGATTTGTACCCATTTAAGCAGGCCCTCATGCTACATAGTTGTATGGTGCATCTGAGTCAGGCCATAGATGATACAATTTTCTTTTCTTCCACCACGGGTTGCAGGGAAAAAATTGCTAATTTCTTCCATCAACACAGTCAGTTCCTCCTGCTGTGTGCTATTGTGTTCTGCCGGTGAGAAGCCTTCCCAGGCATCACTACACAATGATCACTGCTAGCGGTTATAGCATCAACTTTAGTACAGCCAGTCTGCACATAGATGGATTGAAACCCGGCCGGTTCAGCAGGGGCTGGACAAGTTTCGATCCATCTATGGCCGGATTAAAGTGGGGGTAAACGCGTTTTTTTTTTTTTTTGTTTTGTTTTTTTTACTTTTACCTACAGGTAAGCTTACAATAAAGCTTACCTGTAGGTGAAATTAATATCTCCTAAATATTCTCTCTTTTCTAAAGCCGGCGCATGCGCTCTGAAGGAACAGAAGATCTATGCCATTCCTTCAGAGCTGTGCCATTATTATTATTATTATTATTATAATACAGTATTTATAAAGCGCCGATAGTTCGCTCAGCGCTGTACATTACAATGGGAGACAGAACATGTGACAGAACAATACCAATACAATGCAAAACACGAGGGGATTGAGGGCCCTGCTCTTTCGAGCTTACAATCTAGGAGGGAGGGGATGGTGGCACAGGAGGAGATCGCTGTGGGGGATGGAGTGGTAGGAAGAGTGGAGGAGGTCGGCAAGTTAGCAGGGGGTTGGGTAGGCTTCTCTGAAGAGATGGGTTTTCAGGGTGCGCCTAAAGGAGAGGAGAGTAGGTGATAATCTGATGGGTTGGGGCAGGAAGTTCCAGAGGATGGGTGACACCCTGGAGAAGTCCTGGAGGCGGGCATGGGAGGAGGAGACCAGGGAACTTGAGAGAAGGAGGTCTTGTGAGGAGCGGAGTGTGCGTGCTGGGCGGTACTTGGATATTAGGTCAGTGATGTAGTTCGGGGCAGTGTGGTGGACGGCTTTGTACGTCAGTGTTAGGATTTTGAATCTGATCCGTTGCGCAATCGGAAGCCAGTGGAGGGATTGGCAGAGGGGGGTGGCGGAGATGGAGCGGTTGGAAAGGTGAATGAGTCTGGCAGCCGTAATGGCCTGGGACTCCCGCACGCATGTGCAGGAGCAACGTCATCGCAGCCCGGCCTGTCAGATAGCTGCAGCGCACGAACAACGGAAGGAAGACCTGATGAAGATGGATGCCCTGCACTGGTAACAGCATGCTGCTGGAGGGCTTTGTTTTAAGGTAAGTTTTACATAATGCGATCCATACTAGCACAGTATGACATTACCTTGCAGGGGACTTTTTTCTTTTTTCCTTTCTTTCCTGCGGTGTACTACCACTTTAAGGGAGATTGTACAGCCAGATAGTAACATGTGTGGCTTCACATACATATGTAAAAATTCTGCATGAAGGTAAGGCCATGTTCCTCCTCTTGCCCAGGTGGAATTAATTCGGAGAGATTACGTGGCCAATGGTGGCTGGGAGACCTTCCTGTCCTATGAAGACCCAGAGCAGGACATTCTGATTGGCCTGCTGCGTCTACGGAAGTGCTCGCCAGAGTCATTCAGACCTGAGCTGAAGGGAGGAGTGTCCATAGTGCGAGAGCTTCATGTATACGGCAGTGTGGTGCCCATCAGCAGTCGAGACCCATCCAAGTTCCAGCACCAGGTGAGTGGAGAACAGTCATTGTGTATGTCATTGAGGTTATACCTTAGGGAGAAGTGTGTGTCTGAGAATTTCAGGGGGGCTTTGGGGTTCTTTCTGATGAAAGAGGCTCTACAGGGTTCAATATGAAGCAGATCTTTTGTGTGATGCGCTTCTGAAAGCGCTAGCTGTCTCTTTACTTTTTAACGAAGTGGTTTTCAAACCACCGGCAGTGGGCCGACATCTCCTATCTGTTCCAATAGCTACTGCTGTCACAATAGGCTCAGAATGGTCCACCTGATGATTGAAGAAACCTCCGGGGTGCCCCATCCTCTGCGTGGCTAAAGAAGCCAGGGTGCTACTACTTTTTATGAAAGAAAGCACCCCTAAATTACTCTGTTGGTGAATTGATCTGCGCCTGATGGAGCAAAAATAGATCCACCACAGACACTAATGATTTTGATGGGGAACAGCATTGTCCCTTGGTGGCAGCTTTCCCAGTGACACCAATAATTTGGGATTGGTGGGTACATTCTACCCTGGTACCCACTGACCCGAAAGATTTCTGGAGCTTTTCTCTCCTGGGGACCACTATCCCTTTGACACCAATAATTTGGTGTCAGTAGGATAGAAGCCCCCAGGGGAGAATAGGCATTCAATGATTTGAGGGGCTATTTTCCTTGCGGGAGCCCACAGTCTCACTGACACCAATAATTTGGGAGGTGGGGGGCGCATTGGACACTGATGCCCACTATCCCACTGATACCAATAATTTGGGGTTGAGGGTTATTCTACCCTGGTGCCCGCTATCCATTTACATTATTATTATTATTATACAGGATTTTATAGCGCCAACAGTTTGCTCAGCGCTTTACAATATAACGGGAGACAATACAGCAACAATACAGTTCAATACAAGAGGATTGGGAGGGCCCTGATCCTCGGAGCTTACAATCTAAGAGGGAGGGGTTGGTGGTACAAAAGGTAATAACTGGGGGATGGATTGGTAGGAGGAATAGAAGATTCCATTATTAGCTGAAGGCAGGATAAGCTTCCCTGAAGAGAGAGTTTTCAGAGATCGCCTAAAAGTGGGCAGAGTAGGCAATAGTTGGATAGATTGGAGTAGAGAGTCTGGAGATGAGCATGGGAGGAGGGGACAAGGGAGCTAGAGAGCAGGAGGTCATGGGAGGAGTGGAGAGGACGGTTTGGGTGATATTTGGAGACAAGACTGGTGATGTAATTTGGGGCAGAGATATAAATGGCTTTATATGTTATTGTTAATGTTTTGAAATTTTATTCGTTGGGTAATGGGAAGGCAGTGGAGGGATTGGCAGAGAGAGGTGGCAGATATGGAATGGTTAGTAAGAATGATGAGTCTGGCAGCAGCATTCATGATAGACTAAAGAGGAGATAGCCTGCGATTAGGTAGGCCAATGAGGAGGGAGCTACAATAGTCAAGGCGAGAGATAACAAGGGACTGAATAAGTTGCTTAGTGGTTTCCGTGGTTAGGAACGGCCGTATCTTGGAGATGTTGCGGAGGTGAAGTCTACAAGATTTGGACAGCGATTGTATTTGGGGCTGAAAGGACAGATGGGAGTCTAGGATTATAAATAGTACCCTAGCATGAGGGGAGGGACTGATGGTTGTATTATTGATCTTGATGGAGAAGTCAGGGGAGGGGGCACGGGCTGGAGGGAATAGTATGATCTCAGTTTTAGAAAGATTGAGTTTGAGGAAGTGGAGTGACATCCATGCCGATATGTCACTTAGTAGGTTAGTAATGCGAGAGGAGACTGAAGGGGTGAGGTGAGGAGTAGAAAGATAGATTCGTGTGTCATCAGCATAGAGATGGTACTTAAAGCCGTGGGAGTTTATCAAGTGACCAAGGGAGGAGGTGTAGATGGAGAAGAGAAGGGGTCCAAGGACAGAACCTTGAGGGACCCCTACAGAAAGAAGAATCAAGAGCAAAGAGGAAACTTACATCAGTGATTTGAAGGATTATTTTTTTTCTGGGGTTCATTAACCCACTGACACCAGTGATTTGGGGAGCTTTTCTCTCCTGAGGGCCACTATCCCTGCAACACCAATAATTTGAATGCTTATTGTCCCCCGGGGGCCACTATCCCATTGACCAATGATTTGAGGGGCTTTTCTACCACTGGTGGCCAAAATCTCATTGTTGCCAATGAATTGGGCTACTGTCCCACTAACATCAATCATTTGGGAGGTGGGGGGGTGCATTCTACACTGATAGCCACTATCCTACTGATACCAGTAATTTCGGGTTAGGGGGGCTTTCCACCCTGGTGCCCACTATCCCACTGACACCAATGATTCCAAAATATTTTTCTCCTGGGGTTCAATAACCCATTGAGCCCAGTGATTTGGGTGCCTTTCTCTCCTGGAGGCCACTATCCCTTCAACACCAATAATTTGAGGGGCTATTCTCTCACTGGTGGCCACAATCCTATTTTTGCCATCGAATTAAGTAGCTGTTTTCCTTGGGGGGGGGGGGGGGGGGCTAACATCCCACTGACACCAATAATTTGGCCGTGGGGGGCATTCTACCCTGATGCCCACTATCCCACTGACATCAATGATTTGAAGGATTATTATTTTCCGGGGGTTCACTATCCCAATGATTGGGGAGCTTTTCCACCCTGGGGGCCACTACCCCTTTGACACCAATAATTTGAATGCCTGTTCTCCCCTATGGGCCTCTATCCCATTGACTGCAATGATTTGAGGAGCTATTCTCTCACTGGTGGCCACAATACCATTGTCGCCATTGAATTGAGGGGCTGTTTTCCTTGGGGGCTACTGTCCCACTGATGCCAATAAATTGAAGGGCTATTTTTTCTTGGGGGCCACTATCCCTCTAACACCAATAAATTAAGGGGCTATTCTTCCATGGGGCCACTATTCCCCTGACACCAGTAAATTGAGGAACTATGGGAGCCATTGTCCCATTGATACCAATAACGTAAGGGGCTATGGGGGCCACTATCCCACTGACACCAAAGAATTGAGAGGTTGTATACTGTTAGCATGGAAGTTTTTGGAAGAATTTACAAGGCCCTGGCCTCACTAAGGTTAAGAACCACTGTTCTGCATCACTTATCCAGGAAACACATATACTATGAGTGAAGTCAAAACTCCTGATCTGCATACTGGTTACAAGCCAACATTAAAGTCCGGATGACAGACAAGCAACTTGCATTTCCAGAGGTGGCTTGCAATGATATCTCCTTTGGGGATAATCCACATGCTTGGACAGGTCTGCGTTATCACAAGAAGACAACATCAAGAGGCTATCAGAGTGTAGAGAAGAAAAACCCTTTTTTTTGGTTTATAGCAGAAGCACCTGATGGTTGGGAATTGCCATGAAAGAAGAGGGTGAGGATTGATCTTTTTGAAATAATTTATTCTTGGAATAAAACACAGTAACACGTTTAATGATATATAACCACACTTTCTCAGGTTTTGTGTTGAATAAGCCCTTCAACCAGCTTGATTTTTGTCATCAACAATGCAGAACGATTGAATAGAATAGGTGCGGCTACCAAAGATCCAGCTGGATGGATCTGAAGACTAGGGACTTGTGTGGACAGGGATTTGGGCTTGGGTTGATGGCACCAGTTTGACATCAGTTTGGGATACCAAACAGTGTAACAATCCTGTCTACTCAAGTCTTTAACAAAGATCTATCATTACTCTTTTTTTTTTTTTTTTGACTGCCCTGTGGAGGTGCTTTCTAACCCTAGCCATAAGGTCCGAACTGCACCCCCATCCTTCCTGCTGCAGTCGATTCGACAACAGCTAGGAAGGAGACAGATACTTTATAAAGGCTTGCCTCAACTCTTGAGCTCTTTCCCACTGTGCGTGGGGTTTAACCAGTGTACCTGTGAGTCAGTGAGGTGGAGTTCCACACTTTAAGCAGAAAAGCAATGCCCATCAACAAGGCAGTTTTTCAGTAGTGATATAACATGAGCTTACAGACCACAAAATGACTTCATTATTTTGTGTATGGTAATTTTCATCCGTCACGTTTCTGGGAACAAAGTGTGCTTTTTCAAGGATACATATTCAGCTCAAGTATGTGGGTGGGGCTTAACCAGTTTACCCAATAAGTGGGGGGAGAGGGGCAAAGGTCCACGTGTCTTCGAGCAGAAAGGTAATGTCTGTCAACAAGACATTTTTTTCAATAGTGATAAAACATGAACATACAGACCACAGAATGTCTGGGGAAAAGGGGGTTCTGAGCGTGGACTGGTTCACCACAGGGAAGGAGGAAGGGATTCTCAAGGTGGATTGGTCCACCAAAGAGGGGGTTCTCAGAAAGGATCACTCCACCCAAGGGGGTTCTCAGAGTGGACCCACCACAGGGAAAGGGGGGATTCTCAGAGTGGATTGGTCCACCAAAGAGGGGGTTCTCAGAAAAGATCACTCCACCACAGAGTGGACTGAAAGAGAAGGGATTCTCAAAGTGGATTGGTCCACCAAAGAGGGGGCTTTCAGAAAGGATCACTCCACCCAAGGGGTTTCTCAGAGTGGACTGGTCCACCACAGGGAAAGAGGAAGGGATTCTCAAAGTGAATTGGTCCACCAAAGAGGAGGTTTTCAGAAAGGATCACTCCACCCAAGGGGGTTCTCAGAGTGGATTGATCCACCAGCCTGCCTGGTGCCAGTCAACTTACCATGGGAAATAAGAAGGATTTTAGTAAATCTCTGCAGTAACATGTTCTGTCTGTTCTGCTCTCAGGGATTTGGGATGTTGCTGATGGAGGAAGCAGAGAGGATAGCACGGGATGAGCACGGCTCAAGGAAAATTGCAGTAATATCCGGTGAGTCCTCATGCTTCATGCTACTATGGCAGCATTTATACATATGTATGCGCTGTGTGTTTGTATATACAGTTGTGCAGAAAAGTTTGCATACCCTGGCAGAAATCGTCAAATTTTGGTATTGATATTGAAATTACGACTGATCATGCCAAAAACTGTTTTATTGAAGGATGATGATCATATGAAGCCGTTTATTATCAAATAGTTGTTAGGCTCCTTTTTAAATCATAATGATAACCAAAATCACCCATATGGCTCTAATCAAAAATTTTTATCCCCTGGAATGTTTGGTCTTGGTACAGACACACAAGGTGACACACACGGGTTAAAATGGCCATTAACCAGCCTGGCGGTATTCCCGAGTGTAGCTCGGGGTAAAATTTCAGTCCAAAAGTGATAACCCCGAGCTACACTCGGGATTACCCTGCAGCGTTGCTCCGGGATCCCTGTTTCACTTACCTTGTCCAGCGCTCCCCGCGATGTCCCCCCCTGCAGTTTCCCCGGCCATCTCCTCTGGCCGATGCCGGCATCTGTCTTCTGGGTTCCGTCCCCTGCGACGTCGGGACGTACGGGGGACGGAACGGCGGGAAATTCAAAAATGTAAAAAGTGACATTCACTAAAATCACATAGTAAAACATTCCTGTATCAAACCATTTCACATACATTTTGTCCCGAGTGCTTTGTCCTGTGCCCTGCCTGCATTTTTACTGTTCTTTCTGCCTGGAAACTGAGAAACGTCCATGGCGTCCAAAAAGCGTCCCTTTAGGTCAAAAGCGGTTTTAGACCGGCTAGAGAACAGCGATAGTAAATTAGAACCACTTGCAGAATTGAGTGATAATGATTCGTGGGGGAAATTCATCATCAGACACTTAAAACGATTTTGCGACTTTGTTCAGTGATGTGCCAAATTTCAAATTTCAGTGTCTTTGGTTTGATTACATTATTGAATTAAATTTATTATTATTATTATGATTTTTTATGATTATTATATTATTATTTATGATTTTGTGTTTCAAATTTTATCATACCCGGGATGTTTACTAGACTCTTGTTCGGACAGATTTCAGTTAATTATTCCTAAGAATTACAGGCCTACAATATAAAACAACATATTTCCATGCAAAAAAAATGTACCGCTTTGAGCACAGAAATATTAACATAATCATACCGTTAGGAGGTTAAAGGTTAATTTTTCACATCTGTGGCTTTTTAAATTGCAATTAGTGTCTGTGTATAAACAATCAATGAGTTTGTTAGCTCTCACGTGGACGCACTGAGCAGCCTAGATACCGAGCCTTGGGGAGCAGAAAAGAACTGTCAAAAGATTACGTAACAAGGTAATGGAGCTTTATAAAGATGGAAAAAGATATAAAAAGATATCCAAAGCTTTGATCAAGTCAGTACTGTTCAGTCACTTATTAGGAAGTGGAAAATTTGGGGATCACTTCACACCAAGCCCAAGTTAGGTAGACCGAAAAAGATTGTTGCCACAACTACTGGAAGAATTGCTCTGGAAAAAAATGGTGCGGTTGTTTCATAGTTACATAGTTAGTCTGGCTGAAAAAGACAAAAGTCCATCCAGTTCAACCATAGAAAAAAAAAGTTATAATCCTATACGCACAATTGATCCAGAGGAAGGCAAAAAAAAAACCCAGCAAAGCATGATCCAATTTCCTCCTGTAGGGGAAAAAATTCCTTCCTGATCCCCCAAGAGGCAATCAGATATTCCCTGGATCAACTTTACCTATAAATGTTATATCCAGTTATATTCTGTGTATCTAAGAAAGAATCCAGGCCTTTTTTTTGAAGCAATCCACTGAGCTGGCCAGAACCAACTCTTGAGGGAGTCTATTCCGCTTTCAAGGGGCACAATATGACGATACTTGAACAAAAAATTACCTGCATGGTTGAGTTGCCAGGAAGAGAAGCTTTAACTGCTCCAGTGTCACAAAAAAGCCCGGCTACACTATGCCCGACAACAAGATGAATGCAGCATGTTATTAGAAAATACTGGCAGACAATTTGCATTCTTCTGCACAAAAGCTGCTCATAGGACACTCTTGGACTTTCTAGCATGACAATGACCCTAAGCACAAGGTCTAGTTGACCCTCCAATGGTTACAGCAGACAGAGGTGAAAGTTCTGGAGTGGTCATCACAGTCTCCTGACCTTAATATCATTGAGACACTCTGGGGAGATCTCAAACATGTGGTTCATGCAAGAAGACCAAAGACTTTGCCTGACCTGGAGGCATTTTGCCAAGACAAATGGGCAGCTATACCACCTGCAAGAATTTGGAGCCTCATAGACAACTATTACTAAAGACTGTACGCTGTCATTGATGGGGGGCAATACACAATATTTGGATCTAAGGGGATGCAGAATTTTGAACAGGGGGCATTTCATTTGTTTACTTATTGCCATGTTTTGTTTTATGATTGCACCATTCTGTTAGGGCCTACAGTTACGGAGTATGAATCCCATAATAAATAAAAGATGTGTTTTGCCTGCTCACTCATGTTTTCTTTACATATGATATATATATATATATATATATATATATATGTGTGTGTATGTATATATATGTGTGTGTGTGTGTGTGTATATATATATATATATATATATATATATATATATATATATATATATATACACACACACACACACACACACACACACTGTATATTACCAATGATCCAAGGGGATGCAAACTTTAGAACACCACTATATATATATATATTTTATAATATAAAATCTTTTTTTCTCTCTCATTAATTAAAAATTATCATTAAAATTATATACAGTATATTGTGTGTGTAGAGAGAGGGATTATATAATGAGATGGTTATATACAGTTGCAAGAAAAAGTATGTGAACCCCTTGGGATTACGTGGAGTTTTGCATGAATTGGTCATAAAATGTGCTCTGAACGTCATCTAAGTCACAACAATAGAAGAACACAGTCTGCTGAACATAATACTACACAAACATTAGATGTTGCCATGGTTTAATTGCACATAACATGTAAACATTCACAGTGCAGGGAGGAAAAAGTATGTGAACCTTTGGACTTAATAACTGGTTGACCCTCCTTTGGCAGCAATAACCTCAACCAAACGTTTCCTGTAGTTGCAGATCAGACCTGCACAACGATCTGGAGTCATTTTGGACCACTCCTCTTCACAAAACTGTTTCAGTGTAGCAATATTCTTGGGATGTCTGGTTTGAATCGCTCTCTTAAGGTCATGCCACAGCATTTCAATCGGGTTGAGGTCAGGACTCTGACTGGGCCACTCCAGAAGGCGTATTCTGTGCTGTTGCAGCCATTGTTTTGTTGAATTACTTGTATGCTTTGGGTCATTGTCCTGTTGCATCACCCATCCTCTGCGGAGCTTCAGTTGGCGGACAGATGGTCGCACGTTTTCCTGCAAAATATCTTGATAAACTGTGGAATTCATTTTCCCATCAATGACAACAATCCGTCCAGGCCCTGAAGCAGCCCCAAATCATGATGCTCCCTCCGCCATGTTTTACAGTGGGGATGAGGTTTTGATGGTGACGTGCTGTGCCTTTTTTTCTCCACACATAGTGTTGTGTGTTCTTCCCAAACAACTCAATCTTGGTTTCATCTGTCCACAGTATATTTTGCCAGTAGTGATGTGGAACATCCAGGTGCTTTTTTGCAAACTTAAAACGTGCTGCAATATTCTTTTTGGACAGCAATGGCTTCCTCCGTGGTGTCCTCCCATGTACTCCATTCTTGTTTAATGTTTTCCTTATTGTAGATGTGTCAACAAAAATGTTAGCATGTGCCAGAGATTTCTGTAGGTCTTTAGCTGACACTCTGGGATTCTTCTTTACCTCATGCAGCCTTCTGCGCTGTGCTCTTGCAGTCATTTTTACAGGACGGCCACGCCTAGGGAGAGTAGCAACAGTGCTAAACTTTCTCCATTTGTAGACAGTCTGTCTTACCGTGAACACATGAACATCAAGGCTTTTGGAGATACATTTGTAACCCTTTCCAGCTTCATGCAAGTCAACAATTCTTGATCGTAGGTCTTCTGAGAGCTCTTTTCTGCGAGGCATGGTTCACATCAGACAGTGCTTCTTGAAACCAGTAAACCCAAAACAGGTGTGTGTTTTTTTAAGGGCAGGACAGCTGTCAGCAACACATCCAATATCATCACACTGATTGGAGTCAACGTTGGCTCACTCCTGGCTCCAATTAGCTCTGGGAGAAGTCATTAAGCTAGGGCCTCACATACTTTTTCCTCCCTGCACTGTGAATGTTTACATGTTATGTGCAATTAAACCATGGCAACATCTAATGTTTGTGTAGTATTATGTTCAGCAGACTGTGTTCTTCTATTGTTGTGACTTAGATGATGTTCAGAGCACATTTTATGCCCAATTCATGCAAAACTCCACATAATCCCAAGGGGTTCACATACTTTTTCTTGCAACTGTATGTATGGATTTATATAAAATGTATGTTTATAATTTTATAATAATTAGAAAATCTCTCGAATATGCTGTATACATGTGTATATACAGTGGATACAAAAAGTCTACACACCCCTGTTAAAATGTCAGGTTTCTGTGATGTAAAAAAATGAAACAAAGATAAATCATTTCAGTAAAAAAAACTAAAATAATATGGTTGCATAAGTGTGCACACCCTTAAACTAATACTTTGTTGAAGCACCTTTTGATGTGATTTCAGCACTCAGCCTTTTTGGGTATGAGTCTATCAGCATGGCACATCTTGATTTGGCAATAATTTTTACTCACTCTTCCTTGCAAAAACACTTCAAATCTGTCAGATTGCGAGGGCATCTCCTGTGCACAGCCCTCTTCAGATCACCCCACAGATTTTCCATAGGGTTCAGGTCTGGGCTCTGGCTGGGTCATTCCAAAACCTTCATCTTCTTCTGGTGAAGCCATTCCTTTGTTGATTTAGATGTATGCTTTTGGTTGTTAAGCTGAAAGATGAAGTTCTTCATGTTCAGCTTTCTAACAGAAGCCTGAAGGTTTTGGGCCAATATTGCCTGGTGTTTGGAACTGTTCATAATTCCCTCTACCTTGACTAAGGCCCCAGTTCCAGCTGAAGAAAAACAGCCCCAAAGCATGATGCTGCCACCATCATGCTTTACAGTGGGTATGGTGTTCTTTTGGTGATGTGCAGTGTTGTTTTTGCACCAAATATATCTTTTGGAATTATAGCCAAAAAGTTCAACCTCGGTTTCATCAGACCAGAACACATTTTCCCACATGTTTTTGGGAGACTTCAGATGTGTATTTGCAAAATTTAGACGGCCTGGACATATATGAAGAATACAGGAGATAGTTGCACATATACCACACAACCAGTACTTGCCAGATATTCCTGCAGCTCCTTTATTGTTGCTGTAGGCCTCTTGGCAGCCTCCTAGACCAGTCTTTTCATCAGTTTTGGAGGGACATCCAGTTCTTGGTAGTGTCACTGTTGTGCCATATTTTCTCCATTTGATGATGACTGTGTTCCATGGTATATCTAATGTCTTGGAAATTCTTTTGTATCCTTCTCCTGTCTGATACTTTTAACAATGAGATCCCTCTGATGCTTTGGAAGCTCCCTGCGGACCATGGCTTTTGCTGTAGGATGCGACTAAGAAAATGTCAGGGAAGACCTACTAGAACAGCTGAACTTTATTTGGGGTTAATCAGAGGCACTTTAAATGATGGCAGGTGTGTACTGACTCCTATTTAACATGATTGTGAATGTAATTGCTTAATTCTGAACACAGCTACATCCCCAGTGATAAGAGGGTGTGCACACTTATGCAACCACA